CCGTGCAGACAATCAAATCCACCAAAAGAAAGTTTTATTTGTGAGGGAAAAAGGACATAGACTTCATTTGGGTGCATTGTTGCATGACCGCGCAATTGTCAGTTAAAGTAACGCAGTGCAAAAAATTGCCTGGTCAGGAAGGGGGGTAAATCCTCAGGAGGGCAAGGGGTTAAGACATTTAAAGCGACCCTGACAAAATCCCCCTGTAAAAGAATAAATTTTAGCGTGCTAAAACAAGTCCGCCAGTGTGCATTACCACAACACATGGTGACGCTCCTGCCCTTTGTACAGTGCATTCCGGCGCCATTCATTTTGAATAGCACCCCATGCATTGTACAGTAGAGGCCAATGCACCGCATCACAATGCCTATATCATGCGTTGTGTTGTGTGCTGTGTTGTTTAACCCCTTGCCCTCAGAGGATTTACCCCCCTTCCTCAGCAGGCCATTTTAATTTTAACTTACAATTGCGCGGTCATGCAATGCTGCACCCAAATTAAATTTATGTCCTTTTTTCCCACAAATAAAGCTTTTTTTGGTGGTATTTGATTGCCTCTGCGTTTTTTTATTTTTTGCGCTATAAACAAAAAAAGACTAAAAATTGAAAAAAAAACCAACAATATTTTGACTTTTTACTATAAAACATGTCCAGTAAAAAAATAAAAAAAATTAAATTTCATCATAAATTTAGGCCAAAATGTATTCTGCTACATGTCTTTGCTAAAAAAAATATGTGTAAATTAATTGGTTTACGTGAAAGTTATAATGTCTACAAATGGCGGTATAGATACTGGGATTTATATTTATTTATTTTATACTAGTAATGGCGGTGATCAGCAACTTATAGCGGGACTGTGATACTGCTTCGGGCATTCTGACACTGGGGGGGGGGGGGGGGACTGACTAACTGTCACTAACATCCCCAGTGACACTAATACAGTGATCAGTGCTAATAAAAAGCACCGACACTGTACTAATGACACTAGGCAGGAAGGGGTTAACATCTGGGGAGATCAAAGGGTTAACTGTGTGCTGTGTTGTGTTTCACTGTGTAAGCACATTGCTTTGTATGGCTGTGCTGTGCAGAGCCGTACAAAGCAGTGTGCCGCAGCTGACAGGTGAGAGATCTGTATTGTTTACCTACAGACCTGTCCCCCATCAGTGATACTTGACGATCGCCAGGTGCCAGCGGGGAATCACCGGTCGGGACCTGGTGATCGACAGCTGAGGCTGCTAATGGCGCGTGCACCCCCTACCCAGAAATACAAAACCACATATATATAATATATATATATATAAATATATATGTCATTTCACACAGCCCTGCCGCCCTGTAGCAGTAGTTCTGCTATAGGGCGGTCGTGAAGCGGTTAAAAAAAGGGTCCTGAACATTTTTTTATCCATTGTAGTAAGTTAGCAGCCCATTTATAATGAATAGCACGCTTTTACACAATGTGCATTAGGGAGGGCTATGACATGCGTTAACGTGTGTGCATTGACGAAATGAAAGTGTGAATGGGGCCCTTATATTTACCTGTCTGGCAGGGGGTGTGTTAGAGACTTTGCACTTCTGAAGAGCTCAGGGGCATAGGATAGTGTGTACCCCACTGGGCGCTGTGGGCTGTTGGCCCTTGCATCATAGTAGCTCAGGGTTGACAAATTTGCTTTGAATCTAGGAACCAGCTAAAAATGGTAGGAGCCATTTTTTTTTTCAGCATAGCGTTTTCAGCACCTGGCACTTCATATGATGCGATTCGCCACGCGACAATCAGGCAAAACTGCACCACGTTTTAGGCATCATTGAAAATAATGGCACCTGAACCCTGAACAGTGAATATCTGTGATTCCAAACCGCCCAGATGTGAATGGAGCTGCCCTGGTTCACATATATGTGATTCTGGATTTGTTTTGAAACTCACAGATACGCATGACAGGCTAGAAATTTTGTGTTCCTATTGAGGTGCTTGACACAGACGCGATCCACACGCATTGCGTTATGAGTGCCATTATGAAAAGGGTCCTGTGCACGTTTGTAACGGTGCGTTACAGACTCACAAGTGATAGAGTGGTATGCGGAGATAAGTGTTTATAAGAGATACTGTAAGTGTGAAGTCTATGGGAGGTGTTTTTCCATTGAAGTCTATGGAGAGCGACTTCCCATTGCAGTCTATGGGGCACAACTTCCCGTTGAAGTCTATGGGGCGTGACTTTCCATTGAAGTCTATGGGAAGTGATTTCCCATTAAAGTCAATGGGAGGCAGTGTGTGAACCCATGCGCCAGGACGCAATTTCTGGTCGCTATGGACGTGGAAATGGGAGCATAGGCAATGTGTGTGTGTGTGTGTGTGTGTGGGAGGGGGGGGATATGGGGACATAGGGGATGCAGTGGGGACATAGATGGAGGGGTAAGGGATTAGGTGTGTGTGGGGTGTATAATGGCATAGGTGGGGGGAGGAAATGGGGGCATAGATGGGGGTATTGAGATAAAGTTGTGTGTGTTGGGGGGTGGAGGATATTGGGGTGTGTGTGGGGGGGGGGGGCCATGAGGGCATAGGTGCGGAGGTATGGGGCATAGGTGTGTGTGTTAGGGGTGGGGGGGATACAGGGAAATAGGTTGGGAGAGGAAATAGGGGCATAGCTGGGGGTATGGCAACATAGACGTGTGGGGGATAATATGGGAACATGGGGGGTATGGGGGCATATGTTGTGTATGTGGAGTATGGGGCATGGTGTGTATTGATGTTCATTGAAGGATATGTAGGCATTGGTGGAGGGTATGGGGGCATAGGTGTGTGTATGGAGTATAGAAGCATTGGTGTCAAAGGGTATGGGGGAATAGGTGTGGAAGGTATGGGGGAATAGGTATGTGTGTGTGTGGGGAGGGGGGATACAGGGACGTGGGTGTGGTGCGATCTGAGCCATACATGATGTATGGCTCCAATGGCACCGCACACAATTTGCATGTGATTTGTACAGGAATGCGGTGCGGTTCCTGTGCGAATCACATGTGATGTACCGCACCACATATATGTAAAACCAGCATGAAATTGATGACCTGTGAGAGATTTTCAAAGCCAAGAAAATTATAGGGTACTGAAATTCATCATTGTTTTCTGGGCGCGGACAAATTATGCTGTTTGATCCTGTCTTCTCTGATCCTGTCTTATTGTCCCCAATCCATCTGATGATGATAGTACAGAGCTGAAGGAGACGCTCTGCACATGCTCAGATTGGTGTGTATTGCTAGAGAGGTTTTTTTGTTTTTGCTTTGAGAGAGTGCATGTGATCAGCACAGGGCCAATCAGATCTGTCCAGACAGAGGGTCAGGGGTCATGCAGCCTCATAGGACAGTCAAAGCAGAATGGAAAATCCTCATACAAGCTTCAACCAGTGCTCAGCTGGACACAGATGTCACAAAACTGCTCTAACTGCTGATGAGAAAAGATATTTAGCAGTTTGTTTTACTAAAATAATTAAAATCCCATGTTGTGTGTACTGAGGGAGATCAGATATAGTGAATGCAGGGTCCTGGGAGACCAAATCTAGTGAATGCAGGGTCCGGGGAGATCAGATATAGTGATTGCAGAATCCTAGGAGACCAGATATAGTGAATGCAGGGTCCTGGGAGACCAGATATAGTGAATGCAGGATCCTGGGAGACCAGATATAGTGAATGCAGGGTCCTGGGAGACCAGATATAGTGAATGCGGGGTCCTGGGAGACCAGATATAGTGAATGCCGGTCCGGGTCCAGATATAGTGAATGCGGGGTCCGGGGACCAGATATAGTGAATGCGGGGTCCGGGGAGATCAGATATAGTGAATGCGGGGTCCGGGGAGACCAGATATAGTGAATGCGGGGTCCAGGGAGACCAGATATAGTGAATGTGGGGTCTGGGGAGAGCAGATATAATGAATGCAGGGTCCTGGGAGACCAGATATAGTGAATGCGGGGTCCGGGGATACCAGATATAGTGAATGCAGGGTCCTGGGAGACCAGATATAGTGAATGCGGGTTTCTGGGAGACCAGATATAGTGATTGCAGGGTCCTGGGAGACCAGATAGAGTGAATGCGGGGTCCGGGGAGACCAGATATAGTGAATGCAGGGTCCGGGGAGACCAGATATAGTGAATGCAGGATCCTAGGAGACCAGATATAGTGAATGCAGGGTCCTGGGAGACCAGATAGAGTGAATGCGGGGTCCTGGGAGACCAGATATAATGAATGCAGGATCCTAGGAGACCAGATATAGTGAATGCAGGGTCCTAGGAGACCAGATATAGTGAATGCGGGGTCCGGGGAGACCAGATATAGTGAATGCGGGGTCCTAGGAGACCAGATATAGTGAATGCAGGGTCGGGGAGACCAGATATAGTGAATGCAGGATCCTAGGAGCCTAGATATAGTGAATGCAGGGTCTTAGGAGACCAGATATAGTGAATGTGGGGTCCGGGGAGACCAGATATAGTGAATGCAGGATCCTAGGAGACCAGATATAGTGAATGCAGGGTCCTAGGAGACCAGATATAGTGAATGCAGGGTCCTAGGAGATCAGATATAGTGAATGCGGGGTCCGGGAGACCAGATATAGTGAATGCAGGGTCCAGGGAGACCAGATATAGTGAATGCAGGGTCCTGGGAGACCAGATATAGTGAATGCAGGGTCCTGGGAGACCGGATTTAGTGAATGCAGGGTCCTGGGAGACCGGATATAGTGAATGCAGGGTCCTGGGAGACCGGATATAGTGAATGCAGGGTCCTGGGAGACCGGATATAGTGAATGCAGGGTCCGGGGTTTAATAACACTTTAACACAAGCTGTAACACAAGTCTACGTGGCTCAGTTGGCTGAGCGTCAGACCTTTGTCCTGTTGACTTGGAGGTATAAAGTTCCCTGTGTATGTCACAACACACCGGTTTCTGTATTGGCGTCTCTGCACCGAGGTCTGACTAATGAGCAGATGTGATCGTCTTTCTCCTCTGTCTCCCACAGCTGTGTAAATGAGTATGGAAGATTATGATTTCCTATTCAAGATCGTTCTAATCGGAAACGCCGGAGTGGGGAAGACCTGTCTGGTGCGGAGGTTTACCCAGGTAAGGAGCATTGTCATCTTTTCTGCCTTAATGTAGGAAGAGAGTGATTTAAAGCAGTACTACAGCGCCTTGAAAAAGTATTCATACCCCTTGAAATTTTCCACATTTTGTCATGTTACAACCAAAAACGTCAATGTATTTATTGGGATTGGATGTGATGGACCAACACAAAGTGGCACATAATTGTGAAGTGGAAGGAAAATGAGAAATGTTTTTCAAAATTATTTACAAATAAATCTGTGAAAAGTGTGTCGGCATTTGTATTCAGTCCCCTGGAGTCAATACTTTGTAGGACCACCTTTCACTGCAATTCCAGCTGCAAGTCTTTTTGGGATGTCTCTACCAGCTTTGCACATCTAGAGAGGGACATTTTTGCCCATTCTTCTTTGCAGAATCCCTCAAGCTCTGTCAGATTGGATGGAGAGCGTCTGTGAACAGCAATTTTCAAGTCTTGCCACAGATTCTCCATTGGATTTCGGTCTGGACTGTGACTGGGCCATTCTAACACATGAATATGCTTTGATTGAAACCATTCCATTGTAGCTCTGACTGGATGTTTCGGGTCGTTGTTCTGCTGGAAGGTGAATTATGTGCCACTTTGTGTTAGTCTATCACATAAAATCCCAATAAAATACATTTACATCATTTTTGGTTGTAACATGACATAATGTGGAACATTTCAAGGGGTATGAATACTTTTTCAAGGCACTGTAAATCCCAAACCAAAAATGGCATCTATTGCAGCTTAGCAATCATTAGACGTGGTGGCTGCAATAGTTTTCTTTTTTAGGCTTTTTCACCTGGTGATCTGGCCAGTAAAACACCTCCTGTATTATACAGACAATACTCTGAAGGAGCACAGGGAGGCAGTCTTAGATTGTAAGCTCCCAGGATCAGGCCCTCCTAATCTTCTTGTATTGAACAGTATTGTTGCTGTATTGTCTCCCATTATATCGTACAGCGCTGAGCAAACTGTTGGCGCTGTATAAATCCTGTATAATAATAAGAATAATTTGGGCAGCAGCATTGTCAGTCTGGGGGGAGGAGAGTGCTAGATGTACCAGCAGATTTAAATACACTAACAAACTATAGTCAAACTCCATCTCATACTCTATAATCAGCTACAGCAAACAGTTTTTCTTTTTCTTTAAAATGGTTTTACATAAGTAAATAAAAGCTGATCATTGTAAGCGCCCGTCAGTCAATGTAAGATGGTTTGTCTCATCCCTGTAACTGGTAGATCTGCAAGACAGCTTGTTGTTTTGATAAACAACAGACTTACTGGCCAGATCACCGGGTGAAAATAGAAGAAAGAAATCTTAAAAAAGAAAAGGATTGCAGCTATCACATCTAAGAATTGGTGAGGTGCAATATAATAAATGTTTGCTTTTAGGCTTAATACTGCTTTAATGCCACTGCATTTTCAGCAAGAATTTATCTTCAAACCAGTATAGCAGCTTTTACCGTGAAGTGTATGTCTGAGCGAAAAAATTCAGTAGGCCTACAATACGTGTGCATTTTTTCATATTTTTATTACCCATTTTGTGACCGCAATGTGGCTTTATAAGTCCAAAATGCCCCTTGCTGTGCGAATGTTCACACAGCAAGAACTAGGAATGTGCAACTGTGTGTGTTCCTAGTTCTCAGACCCACTGTCAGTCATAGGGACTAATTAGAAAATGGTATTTGGATGAATTCACAAGCATTTGCCCAGCCCTAAAGAATTCTTACTTTATTTTTCTTATAACAGTCAGAGAACTAGGAATGTGCAGCTGTGTGTGTTCCAAGTTCTAAGACCTGTTGTCAATCATTGGAGTGTATTTATGAAAAAAAATTGGTGGACAAATGTTACAAGCATTTGCCTAGAGCTAAAAAAATTCTGGCCGTATTTTGCTTAATTCGTAGATTTTGTGTGATCATCAGATTCATCTAGTGGTCATAATGCTGTATTTATCCTGAGGTAGTTCAACAAAAATACTGCATTATGGCCACTAGATGGAGCTGGAGATCATAGGAAATCACCATATTAAAGTGGTAGTACATAGTTACATTAGTTAGTCTGGCTGAAAAAAGACAAAAGGCCATCCAGTTTAACCATTAAAAAAAAAATGAAAAAAATTTATAATCCTATACCCACAGTTGATCCAGACGAAGGCAAAAAAACCAGCAAAGCATGATGTAATTTGCTCCTGCAGGGGAAAAAATTCCTTCTTGATCCCCGAAGAAGCAATCGGATATTCCTTGGATCAACTTTACCTATAAATGTTAGTATCCAGTTATATTCTGTGTATCTAAGAAAGAATCCCGGCCTTTTTTAAAGCAATCCACTGAGCTGGCCAGAACCAACTCTTGAGGGAGTCTATTCCACATTTTCACAGCTCTCACTGTGAAGAAACCTTTCCGTGTTTGGAGATTAAATTTCTTTTCCTCCAGATGTAAAGAGTGCCCCCTTGTCCTCTGTGATGACCTCAGGGTGAATAGCTCTACACCGAGTTCACTATATGAGCCACTGATGTATTTATACATGGAGACCATGTATTATACATGGAGATCATATCCCCCTTATGTAATATACATGGAGATCATATCCCCCCCCCTTATGTATTATACATGGAGATCATATCCCCCCTTATGTATTATACATGGAGATCATATCCCCCTTATGTATTATACATGGAGTATTATACATGGATCATATCCCCCTTATGTATTATACATGGTGATCATATCCCCCCTTATGTATTATACATGGAGATCATATCCCCCTTATGTATTATATACATGGAGATCATATCCCCCCTTATGTATTATACATGGAGATCATATCCCCCCTTATGTATTATACATGGAGATCATATCCCCCCTTATGTATTATACATGGTGATCATATCCCCCCTTATGTATTATACATGGAGATCATATCCCCCCTTATGTATTATACATGGAGATCATATCCCCCCTTATGTATTATACATGGAGATCATATCCCCCCTTATGTATTATACATGGAGATCATATCCCCCCTTATGTAATATACATGGAGATCATATCCCCCCTTATGTATTATACATGGAGATCATATCCCCCCTTATGTATTATACATGGAGATCATATCCCCCCCTTATGTATTATACATGGAGATCATATCCCCCCGTTATGTATTATACATGGAGATCATATCCCCCCTTATGTATTATACATGGAGATCATATCCCCCTTATGTATTATACATGGAGATCATATCCCCCCTTATGTATTATACATGGAGATCATATCCCCCCTTATGTATTATACATGGTGATCATATCCCCCCCCCTTATGTATTATACATGGTGATCATATCCCCCTTATGTATTATACATGGAGATCATATCCCCCCTTATGTATTATACATGGAGATCATATCCCCCCTTATGTATTATACATGGAGATCATATCCCCCCTTATGTATTATGGAGATCATATCCCCCCTTATATTATACATGGAGATCATATCCCCCCTTATGTATTATACATGGAGATCATATCCCCCCTTATGTATTATACATGGAGATCATATCCCCCCTTAATCTCCTCTTCTCAAGAGAGAATAAATTCAGTTCCTCTAATCTTTCCTCATAGCTGAGCTCATCCATGCCTCTTATCAGTTTGGTTGCCCTTCTCTGTATTTTCTCCAGTTCCCCAATGTTCTTTTTGTGAATTGGTGCGTATCCATTGCTTTAACAGTATCACCATTCATACTATTTGCTGACACATTCATAGTTTTCACAGCAATGTCCGTACTCACTGCTGCACTGATAGAATCTTCAGCTCCAGCTGTCATCTTCTCCTCCAGGACAGGGCTTTCAGCTGAGAAAAGTGCAGGATGTTCAGACACAGCAACAGGTGAAACATCACTGACACAGGAAACATCCATAGCTGTTTGTTCTCCACATACTCCACATAATGCAGTGTGCTGCTCTCCTCCCCCACCAGCATCAATTGTCTCTGGAACACATGCAGATTCAGGTGATGCAGACTCTTTGCAGGTGGCAGCCATATTGCCTTTAGAGGGAATACTGGTCTCAGCAGGAACAGGAGCAGTAACTTCAATCTCTGGGGTGTTTGGTGCACGTCCATCCACATTCCTGCTGGTCTGGAGACTTCTCTGTCATGGGCTTTCCCTTCACAGCAGAAACCTCCATAGGTGGCTGTTTGCAGAGTTTCTCCTCATCAGCAGTACTCATCACAGCTGGGTGGACATGTTGGAAGGCAGCTTGGTGTACTGGGATTTCTCCACTAGTACTGGCTTTGCCAGGTCTATACCTCCTCTGTCCATCTTCAGGGACTTCTGATGGATCATCAGAGAATGCGAACCTGTCTGCCCTCAGGGGCGACTCCATTTGCTGGATGACGGTCAGGGTGCCATGCTCACTCTCAACCCCCTGGCTGGTTGCCGCTGACAACTCCGCAGTCTGACATGGGGGGGGGGGGACGCAGAGGTAGATGGATCTGGGTCATACCATTACCCAAGGCTGCTGATCCACAGAACTCACTGATGTCTGGCTGGCAAATCTCTCATTGTCAAGCTTCTCTGCAAAAGCTCCACTTCATGTTTTCAACTTTTCCAAGAATAAAGATTGTTTCTTTACTTTTTCTTCCATTTGCTGTAGCTCTGGCTTAATGGCCAATCGATTCTTATTCCAAGCCTGGCAGCATTTGGCACTGAAGGATTTATGCTCAGCTCTCAAAACCAAAACTTTAAGTTTTCCCTGAGCTCTTCCAATAGCCATGAACCAATCGATAATCCTCTGTCTGAAGACATCCACATCCTCACCAGGGCCTGGACTCACAGTCAGGTCATGCACCTCCTCCTCCTCACTAGGCCCTGTGTCATTAGGGGGATCTCTCCCAGGGCCTCCCCCAGGATCAGGCACTGTTCCTGGGTGAAGCTAGCAGGCAAGGCCCAGGCTTGAAAAACGCTGGTTCTCAGAGAGAGCTCCTTCAGTGTGTTCTCCTCTTCCCACTGACCACCAATGTAAGGGACATTCCTCTCACTGACCACCAATGTAAGGAGCATTCTTCCTACTGACCACCAATGTAAGGAACATTCTTCCCACTGACCACCAATGTAAGGGACATTCCTCTCACTGACCACCAATGTAAGGAGCATTCTTCCCACTGACCACCAATGTAAGGAACATTCTTCCCATTGACCACCAATGTAAGGAGCATTCTTCTCACTGACCACCAATGTAAGGAACATTCTTCCCACTGACCACCAATGTAAGGGACATTCTTCCCACTGACCACCAATGTAAAGGACATTCATCTCACTGACCATCAATGTAAGGGGCAATCTTCCCACTGACCACCAATGTAAGGGGCATTCTTCCCACTGACCACCAATGTAAGGGGCAATCTTCCCACTGACCACCAATGTAAGAGGCATTCTTCCCACTGATCACCAATATTAGGAACATTCTTCCCACTGACCACCAATTTAAGGTGCATTTTTCCAACTGATCACCAATATAAGAGGAACATTATTCCCACTGTCCAATAATTAATAGGGGCACTACTCTGACCACAAGTGTAAAGGGCATTTCTCCCAATAGCCAACCTTGTATCTGGGCATTCTTTCTACTGACCACCAGCATCAGTCTCTCATTGAGTGGCTAATGTTCCACAATTTGCAAACAAAATCATATTCAGTAGGGGTTCCCCGGGACCTGAACATTTATTTCAAGGGTACTTCCATGGTTAGAAGGTTGAAAAAGGCAGGTTTAAAACATTTGTCAGATTTTTACTGCTTTTAGTGTCCCTGCTAGGGAGATTTCCCCTCTCTGTTTGTTCTAGTTACCATTGTCCTCAGGATAGAAAGTGAGGGAAAATCCAAAATTTGGAGTTGTCACCAGAACAAGAATAGAGGGGAAATGTTCCAATGGGGACACGTATTTTGGTAATAACTGTCTAAGAGGGGATCTCATTTGCTTTGAAAAGATTTTCTCTCACTTCCTTTTTTTTTTTACAGACCAGGAAATAAAGGGAATCTGCCCAATAGGACACCAATGGCAAAACTACCGCCAAAAATCTGATAGGGGTTATAACCCTCCCATACTCTATTCAGGAAAAAATTAAATTTTTAGCTTTAAATAAAAAAATCATGTTTAGTAGGAACTCGGATTGGATTGTTGTACGTCTTCCACCAGTAGCACGCGTGATCCTTATTTTACATCCAGAGCAGTCATAAATACATCAATGCAGGAACAGCAGAGGAATCTGAAACAGATGTTCCAAGCATAGATCTATACTCAGACTAAAAGGTTAAACAAACAAAATGAAAGAATAAAAAAAGGGGCACACTGGATGGATAGCTTGGTCTTTTTCTGCTGTCACTTTCTGTGTTTTATATATCAATTCTCATTCTGCAGGGTCTTTTCCCTCCTGGCCAAGGGGCCACCATTGGGGTAGATTTTATGATTAAAACGGTGGAGATAAAAGGTGAAAAAATAAAGGTGAGAGGATTTTCATTTTTCTTTTGTGTGTTTTCTCTGCCAATGCTGTGGTGGTATTTTGAGAGTAAATATGTGTGCTTTGGAATTATCAATATGTATCAGTTCTGCTTGGTGCAAGTCAAGCACATGTTCTTGCACACGGCTTATGGATTTCAAGCCAAACTCCAGGTATATTGCATTCTTACAATAGCTTAGCACAATGTAAGTCTGCATTACTTATACCAGCTGCTGAGGAAGCTGAAAATACTGTAGTAGCCAGTGCTACTACAATGATAGCTGCAATTTGTATGTCCTGCTTGGATTCTGTGCAATGGCTTCCCCTCTGCACACTGACCACAGGGAGTTGGGTATTTGGCACTGCGTCCATTCACAGAACTCAGTGTGTTATTAGGTGTTCTTACATGGCAAGACCACTTACTGTTATCTCCCATATATATTCTTATTATTATAGCCAAATTTACCACCCTAACTCCTCCCACAGTTTTTTTACACTACATAGACAGTAATAAACTGAAACGTGTGGATTGTTCCCGATTGGTGTGCTATTACTTTGTGGAATGTTTTGCCGAATGGTTCACAAAATTATCAGCGTTTTTGTGGTGAAATTGGTCCCATAGGAATGAATGACGAAATGTTCAAAACTAGAGTGGGAGCTGACAAAAGCTAGAGTGTGAGATGAAAAATCAGGACATGATTTCTAAACTGCTATCACTCCCTCATTTTCAAGCCCACCTACACAAATCTTATATCAAAACATTCAGCTATCCCTGCTTCCACTAAAAATGTTCACGGCTAAGCCATAGTCCTAATAGTTTTCACAATATGACTATTTGTTTGCAACTCACGCCGCCCATTGACATTCATTGAAACTCCTCTTTAGACACCTCAAATTTGAAGGGCAATTTCTAAACTGCGACTGTGCCTTTATTTTTAATATTTCAGAGGCAAACTATGCATCAAAATGTAGGTCTGGGTCTTGTGATTCTCACAATGTAAAGCTCTTTGCTGTAGGACTTATAGTTTTTAAAACTACGACCATTTGAAGACCCCAGTGAAGTGAGCAATTTGGAGCAGTTTGTTTTTAACCGCTCTTCTCTGCCCTATTTGAAATCTAATTTTGAATTGCGGACAGTTTGGCCAGCTTCTGGTTAAAGGTTTAGAAATAAGTTTTCTACAGTAGAGAGTATTTGAGGTGATAATGCTGCTAATGTTTTTTTATAAATGTGTGTTTTAATGAACTATGAAGCACTTTGGGCAACAACATTGCAATTAAATGTGCTATATAAATAATTAAAAGTTGAAATACATTTCTCACTCTATCATCTTGCCATGTGCACTTTTTAAATTTGATCAATCAATTGGTTAGTGTAATGTTTACTATCTTTACTCCAAACACTCCACACAGTTACTCTGCCCACTCCATAAAGTTACTCTGCCCAGTCCAACCTTTTCACAGTTACTCCAGCCACTCCAACCACACAACAGTTACTCCAGCCACTCCAACCACACAATAGTTACTCCAGCCACTCCAACCACACAACAGTTACTCCAGCCACTCCAACCACACAATAGTTACTCCAGCCACTCCAACCACACAACAGTTACTCCAGCCACTCCAACCACACAATAGTTACTGCAGCCACTCCAACCACACAACAGTTACTCCAGCCACGCCAACCACACAACAGTTACTCCACCCACTCCAACCACACAAATAGTTACTCCAGCCACTCCAACCACACAACAGTTACTCCAGCCACGCCAACCACACAACAGTTACTCCATCCACTCCAACCACACAACAGTTACTCCAGCCACTCCAACCACACAACAGTTACTCCAGCCACTCCAACCACACAACAGTTACTCCAGCCACTCCAACCACACAATAGTTACTGCAGCCACTCCAACCACACAACAGTTACTCCAGCCACGCCAACCACACAACAGTTACTCCACCCACTCCAACCACACAATAGTTACTCCAGCACTCCAACCACACAACAGTTACTCAATCCACTCCACCCAGTTACTCCGCCCACTCCAGTTGTAGACTACTGGTGGAGGCAAGAACACATCACACAATTTCCCCAGAAATTGTAGCTTTTCTAGTTTAATACGTACAAGGCATTCTTCGACTGGACAATGTGCAGAAGAAGAGTTGTGACATCACAATCTCTACCTCATCCATTCAAAGAACACCTAGTATTCCTTTAACTATATATATAATTAATGGCGGTGGTGTAAGCAAACAACCCATTGTGTTAAGTCCACAGTGGTGCAGCCATTCACATGGAACCTGAGCAGGATTCGAAGGATAGCAGCTATCATTGTAGTAGCTCCGAATACTATAGTGATTTACAATTTCCCCAGTGACCCATCAGGTGTGCAATAAGCATACTTACAGAGCTTTAAAAGTTAGAACTTTGTCTTAGAAACCTTATTGGCCTACATTTAGAAGTAAAGTTTCTGTAACCAGATTGGCACACATATAAAACCCCTGGCAAAAAGTATGGAATCACCACTGTTGGAAAATGTTAATTCAAGGATGATAATTCATCTTGGCAGAAGGCAAAAGCCGTGAAAACTTTCCTTCAAGAAAGATATCCAATGTCAATGGCATGGCCTGCAAATAGTCCGGACCTCAATCCAAACGAAAATCTATGGTGGTAAAATAGTCCATGACAAGGCTCCAACCTGCAAAGCTGATCTAGAAACTGCAATAAGAGCAAGTTGGAGCCGGATTGATGAAGAATACTGTTTGTCGATAGTTAAATCCATGCCTCAGAGAATTCAAGCTGTTATAAAAGCCAGAAGTGGTGCAACAAAGTACTAGTGGTGTACTGTAGTGGTTTTTTTGCATGATTTCATAATATTTTCCTCAGAAATTAGTGATTCCATATTTTTTTCCTCTGTTTGATCTGCAAAAAACAGTTGCACCTGACTACAGTTTTCTTTCTTTTTTCTTTTTAAATGTTTCTTAACCTCTTGGCACTGGCCGCATGCAAATGTGCGGCCTCCCGGTGTCTGGGCCTTGATGCCGAGCAGCTGCACATTTGTGTGCAATTAAGAAAAACATATGTGCTGAGAGCGCGTGCCCTGCGCGTTCCCAGCGCACATGTCCGGTACTCACGGAAAGGTCCTGATCTCCTTTTGCGATCGGGACCTTACCCGATCATGTGACCGCCGTGACAGCGAATCACGGCAGTCACATGACCCTAAAACCCTGTCCCACCTCCCGGCTTCTGAAACCCTTAAAGGGCCAGGAGGCACCGGCACCAAGGGGTTAAAGTCAGAAATGTTAAATAATAAATAGTTTTGAGGCATGTCTGTGATTTTTTGGTTTTCTACACAATCAAGCAATTGAATTAACATTTTCCAAGAGTGGTGATTCCATACTTTTTACAAGGGGTTGTACACTCTTTGGTCACTTTATTAGGTACACCTTGCTAGTACCAGGTTGGACCCCCTTTTACCTACAGAATTGCCTTAATTCTTCATAGCATAGATTCAACAAGGTGTTGGAAGCATTCCTCAGAAATTTTGGTCCATATTGACATGAGTTACTGTTGCCTTTCTATCATCTTGAACAAAATCTGCCCATTCTCCTCTGACCTCTGACATCAACAAGGCATTTTTGTCCACACAACTGCTACTCACTGGATAATTTCTTTTTTTCGGACCATTCTCTGTGAACCCTAGAGATGGTTGTGCATTAAAATCCCAGTAGATCAGCAGTTTTTTAAATACTCAGACCAGCCCATCTGGCACCAACAACCATCCCACGTTCAAAGTCACTTAAATCCCATTTCTTCCCCATTCTGATGGTCAGTTTGAACTTCAGCAAGTCGTGTTCACCACGTCTACATTGATTGGCTGATTAGCATTTTCTGTTACCAATCCATTGAAAAGGTGGACCTACAGTCAGGTCCATAAATATTGGGACATCGACACAATTCTAAAATTTTTGGCTCTATACACCACCACAATGGATTTGAAATGAAATGAACAAGATGTGCTTTAACTGCAGACTGTCAGCTTTAATTTGAGAGTATTTACATCCAAATCAGGTGAACGGTGTAGGAATTTCAACAGTTTGCATATGTGCCTCCCACTTGTTAAGAGACCAAAAGTAATGGGACAATTGGCTTCTCAGCTGTTCCATGGCAAGGTGTGTGTTATTCCCTCATTATCCCAATTACAATGAGCAGATAAAAGGTCCAGAGCTCATTTCAAGTGTGCTATTTGCATTTGGAATCTGTTGCTGTCAACTCAAGATGAGATCCAAAGAGCTGTCACTATCAGTGAAACAAGCCATCATTAGGCTGAAAAAACAAAACAAACCCATCAGAGAGATAGCAAAAACATTAGGCATGGCCAAAACAACTGTTTGGAACATTCTTAAAAAGAAGGAACGCACCGGTGAGCTCAGCAACACCAAAAGACCTGGAAGACCACGGAAAACAACTGTGGTGGATGACCGAAGAATTCTTTCCCTGGTGAAGAAAACACCCTTCACAACAGTTGGCCAGATCAATAACACTCTCCAGGAGGTAGGTGTATGTGTGTCAAAGTCAACAATCAAGAGAAGACTTCACCAGAGTGAATACAGAGGGTCCACCACAAGATGTAAACCATTGGTGAGCCTCAAAAACAGGAAGGCCAGATTAGAGTTTGGCAAACGACATCTAAAAAAGCCTTCACAGTTCTGGAACAACATCCTATGGACAGATGAGACCGAGATCAACTTGTACCAGAGTGATGGGAAGAGAAGAGTATGGAGAAGGAAAGGAACTGCTCATGATCCTAAGCATACCACCTCATCAGTGAAGCATTCTGGTGGTAGTGTCATGGCGTGGGCATGTATGGCTGCCAATGGAACTGGTTCTCTTGTATTTGTTGATGATGTGACTGCTGACAAAAGCAGCAGGATGAATTCTGAAGTGTTTCGGGCAATATTATCTGCTCATATTCAGCCAAATGCTTCAGAACTCATTGAA